GAGGGCAAAAAGCAGTAGAACTATCGGCACCCTATTCTTAGAAATTCTACCTTTCTGAATGTGGCCCATGATGGTATTAGCCTAGAGCTCAAAGTTTTTGACAAACTGTTAAGCCTAGTGATTTTCAGTGTAGATGACCAATCAGTTTGTCTTGGAAGGAGGGAGGAAGACCCTGTAATGAATCTTACCTGGCTGAGGACATTTCCCAGGTCACTTATCTTCTCGCTGAGGTTTGTAAAATACAAGGAGTGCCCCAACCATTCAGCTCCTGCTTTATTGACTGATCTCTGCAATTTTCCCTTTCCCAGCAACATGGGGCTTATAGACCCCTCCAGGGACCATTTATGAGATACTCCTGACTCCAGGAAACACTATACCCATCAGCCATAAAGTGAAACACAATGATCATAAGAATGAATGAAAGAAAAAGCATTTATTAATAACTTAGTATGCACAAAGCATCATACTAAGTGCTAGACACACAATATGAAAAGTCAGACAATTGCTGCTCCCAAGGAGTTTCCATTTTAATGGAGGAGACAGCACATACAAGAGGCTTTAGCTGTAGGACAGATGGAAGGGCTGAGCTGTCCACAGGGCATAGCAACAGGGCAGATGATAATATTATGATCCTAATGGCAATCACAGTGAGAGTGAGCCCTTCTTATTCCGCTCTGTATCCTCTTCCCACTCCTTCTTTGGTTGCCTAAGGGGTTTGTACCCGTAGGGAATCTAAGGAAATCTGCCTCAAAAATACATGTCTTCTCTAATGCTGGCAGGGAAATGGAGACATCCCATCAATAAACACTGGCAGGAAAATAGAGGCATCCCATCGATTCTGCATATTTGAATATTAACATCCAGAAAAATTCATATTAACATCTACATGATTGAGCAGAATTTTCATTGTGCATTCTGACATGATGTGGTCTCATTTATCTGAACACACACACACACACACACACACACACTCACACACATAAACACACAATGTTAGAGCTGGAAGGGACTTTAGAAATTATGCAGCCCAAGTCCATTATTTTACAGGGGAGTGAATTTGAGATCAGAGAAAGGAAGTCACTTTGCCCAGGTC